TCTAACATTACTTGTATTTGACTGTACAATATTTACAGGTTGTAAGGAAGCTACAGTAGTGTGCGCGCGCGTGTCAAATTTTATTAGCCTGCCCGAGATATATGTTACAGAAAATTGTATATTTTCTAGATTAACCAAGGTTCTGGCAACTAATAGACCTTTCTTTTGTAGAAACTTAAATGGTTCAACTAAATTATTTACAGATGTGTCCTTGACACCTACAGCATAACCTGGTACAATGACTGGTGGAATGCCTACTTTCTTCGACAATTTGACCCTAGTACACACAGGAGGGTAATCTCTTTTTAACTAAACATGTTGCTGATCGGCAAACATTAGTAAGCCTTGTACAACCTGAATTGTCACATTATGTTGCCTGAGAAAATCCATTCCCAAAATACCTTTGAGGTCATATACCTCTGCAACAATAAAGTTATGACAAAAGCTACCATTCCCAAAGCTAAACTGAAGGTCAACTGTGCCCAAAATGTTCAATTTACCACCATCTGCTGCAGTAAGACTTAAATCTGTTTCTACCAATGTTGGCCTATTTTTCAAAGTCATAAAAACATCTTTGGATAAAATACTAGCCACTGAACCTGTATCAAAACTTATGTACAACATTGTCTACAGAACAACTGGCCAATAAACAAGATTTTCCCAGAATATTGATCTTAATAGTCTTGCCCTCTTTTCCATTACAATTCTGGGTCACACTATAGGCATCTAGAGCAACCCCTGAATGTTTTCCTGCTTTGTCTGTTTTTGTAGGCGTAGAAAATTTTGAACCTTTTTGGGGACAATCCTTAGCTATATGCCCTAATTTATGACAGTTATAGCACTCTGTATATACATTTTCCCTAAATGTTTCTTTCCCCCTCTGTTTGTTCTATTGATTGATTTGGACAGTTTCTGTACACAAGATTCTAATGTCTTAAACAGTTCACTCAAACTTTTCGACTCAAGTGGAGAGTCTTGTTTATATTTACTTTGTATGGAATCTGTTTGTTGAGGACCACTGTCTGACTTAGATTGCACTAAATTTACACCCTCTACTTTCACTGGTTTTGACATACTCAACTGAGAACCCTTAACAGCCTCGAACTCAATTGCTAATGATATAGCTGCTTCTAAAGACTGAGGATGATGAAAAATGACATGGTCATGAATGGCAGAATTACCTATACCATTGATAAACTGTTCAAGGACATTGATCTCCCTATCCTTATATGTCATGTCAGGAAATGCCAAACACCCTAGCCTTCTTAAAGAGTAACCATAGTCAGAAGGACTCTCACCAGGCTTTCTTCTACGTGACCTAAACTCACACCTATGAGCAGTAACTAAGGGGACGACCATTTGATTCTGAGGGGGGGGGGGGGGGGGGGGGGGGGGGGGGCTGGCAAATTTTTTTGAGACGGATTATTTATTTTCATGCCTGTCAAGGACAGATTATTTATTTTCAAGATTATCGAGGACAGATTATTTATTTTCTTCTTTGTCTTATGGTACCTTGATCAATTGATTCTAAAAGACTAATCATTTATATACCATAGGCGGATTCAGGAGGGGGGGGGGGGGGGGACGTTTAAAAATTCGTGAAACCAAAAGGTCTGGGGCCGTCTTAAGGCCCCCAGTAGGTCCTGGGTGAAGCACTGGTGGAGGCCAAGGGAGGAAAATTCCCCAGAATCTCTTGGGTTTTCGGGTATTTTAAGAATAAAACCAGGACAATTATACATGTAGTGGTATTGGTTATTATGTACCAAAGTATGACATTATTAATATTGGTCATGTCATACTTTGAATGAAGGGTCCAGGGGGCAAGCCCCCTGAAGCTCGTGGGTTTTTGTGTATTTTAAGAGTAAAACCAGGCACAATTGTGTAGGAATTGGTTAGTTATGTTCCAAAGTATGACATAATTAATACTAGTCATATCATACTTTGAATGAAGGGGGCCTAGGGGGCGAAGCCCCCTGAAGCTTTTGGGTTTTTGTGTATTTTAAGAGTAAAACTAGGCACAAAAATATTGGTATTGTACTAAACTATGGCAATATTAATATTATTCATATCATACTTTGAAATTTTAGGGGAGGGATCATACACATGTACGCCTTCCTTAAATCCGCCAATGTATACTTTGTATTAATTTATGGGGAAGTATACTTCTTTGACAAGAAAATTTATCTTTTGTGGTGTTTAAGAATTGACTTGTATTTAAAGTGATTCATCACATCTACTGAGCGCACATTGCCATGCTGATCAACTGACTACAAGTATCCAGTCTGGTAATCTGATTTTAAATACTATTTGGTTCTAAAATGGCGAGCGACGCGAGCCAAAAAAAATGCTGAATTGAAGATTCTGAGGTTAAATTGAACGTAAATAAAAAGGTATTTTCACAATGTTTAAATATCATAAGTCAAGGTCGGATTATTTATTTTCTTTGCAGAGGAGGACAGATTATTTATTTTCAACATTTTCAGGGACAGATTATTTATTTCCAAAATCTGCCAGCCCCCCCCCCCCCCCCCAGAATCAAATGGTCCTCCCCTAACTCTTGTGGATTGAACCTTTTGGTCAAAATGGATTTAAGCAAATCATAATCAGACCTCTGTTCAACACTAAGATCACCTAACAACTTCTGAGTTTCTCCTCTGAAACACATACCTAACTGTTGTCCCTGCTCATGATATGACCACTCATTCCAGGAGGAAACTTGTTCAAAATGCCAAATAAAGTCTTTCCAGTCTACTGATCTACCATCAAATTTATCAGGTTCCTTTTCCTTTCTGACAGGATTTCTATGATCTGACCTAGTGACACTTAGATGTATCTACTGATGCAAATCTTTTTGACCTTGTTGAAGGAAGAGAGTGTACTGTGCCTAACTGTGAAGGTGTCATCCTAGCTGTTTTGAGTTGTGCCTATTGGAGTAGGTGTATCTGTTGTAGACTTGTATGCATCTAACTGTGACCTAAGCAGTGCTATGGACAACTCTAATTCCTGTATTTCTAACTCTTTAATTTGTCTCTGTAATGCATCCATCTCTGTTTTCCTACTATGTGGAGATGTTCCTGAACTTACAGGAGAACCATGAGTTGAATCCTTAAAGGTGACGTTCTTGTCTACTCTGATACTATTATCAACAGAAGAAAAACCTAGCTTGGCACTTTCATTCTGACTCACTGACTTTCTCTTCTCATACTCATTCTTCACTCTCTCATACATTGCAGTCAACTCTTGAAACTCTCTGTCCATCTTTCTCTCATCCATGCTATTTTTCAGGGGCTACAAAATTAGGGTAAATACTATTTTCTAACTCTTGTGTATGGGCACCTTGAATAGGAGTTTTAGGTCTAGCTCCACTACCGTTGGGTGTGGATGTATGGAAGGGAGGTAAAGGTGAAGTCATGGTTTCTGTCTAGGAATCCTAGTTTCACATGCAACAAAAATGTAATGGTAACCAGTGTGATCAAGGGACTAGAATAAGGCAAACCTTTTCCAAAGTACAACTCTTAACCTTGATGTAATTATTTCATTCAATACACTTTATTGATCGTAGTACTTGGGATTGGAAAGTCTTATTTAACTAATTGTATATATGGGCCATACTGGTTGAATTATTTACCCAAGTTCTTTAGTGATTCCCAGATTATGATAAACACCTTGTTTTGAAATGAGAAGATTTGTAAAGTTTTAAAATTTTATTACAACAAAGGTAAATATGACTTTAGACTAGCTGATAACAAAAGGCAAAAATGTTCCTATAAATATAACAACTGGATTTATCCAAAAATAATAAAATATCTGAAAAAAAATATAGGAGGAGAATGTGACTTTAAAAAAAATGTATCTATTGCACTAAAGAGCTTCCATACACCCAAGAATGTAGGCCAATATAAAAATAAAACACAGGGACACAGGGATAACCGTAATATATATCATTGAAATAAGGTAAGGGATATCTTAATTCTGCCCTGAACCAACAATATTTGACTCTACTATGGGTATCTAATCCTACATTTTGAATAAAGTTACCTCTAAGCCTAACAAATCTAAGAAAACGAACACGAAGTTCTTGTGAAGCGAACCTTAGAGTTCTTGACCCCTAGCAGAGTGAGTGTGAATTTCATAAGTATTTCTATTTATGGACAGAGTAAGCCAATTTTACACTAAAAATAAATGCCTAATCTGATTGGCCAGGACTAAGTCTCTTAGCCAATAAAATTACAGAATACATATTACGTTTGGGATGATTGACAATATGGCGGGTACAATGAATTACTTAAAGAAGTGAAAGGTAAACATCTGTAAAATCGAAATATTAACTTTTTACTAATTTTAAATGACTTCGGAAGTATATACATGTATAATAGGCATAATGTATGAACATTATACTATAAATCTGACATCGTAAGATAGGAAAACATTAAAATTGTCGCAATTTTAAAGGGGGGTTGGGGAAGGGATAATCCTGTATACTTTTTTTTTTATATAAAATGACAAATGATGGATTGGCTATTTTAGAGATTATCATTTTATATATTCCTATGGTTAACTTTGACCCCTTGTAGTGGCCCTACTCTACTTCCGGGGGTCATAATTGGAACAGACTAAAACATATCTGAAGATTTTTCTATAATGATATAACTTAAATCATTGCATGGTTCTTGAAATTCTTATTTTGAAGATATCACCAATTTTTTAGGAATTCTTTATTATCTACCTCTTTAAAAAAGGATGTGACACTTGCTGCTTAACCTGAAATAATTCCCTTTACCGAAAATGCTTTGTGACAAGTTTGGATGAAATTGACCCATGGGTCCTTGAGAAGACGAATTGTTAAAAGTGTACAGATGACAGACGGGCGTTGGACTTTCTTTGATCTGGAAAGCGCACGTAATATTTTAAAAAATCAATAATAAAATGAAAAGTTCTAAATAAAATCGGACGGAAGTTTAAAGTAACCAGCACCTAATTTTACCACGTAGATCCGCGAAGTCGGGGGATTTAAATCCCTTTGCGCATTTAGACATAAACATCGGCCATATTAAGTTTAAATTCCCTAGCACCGGCAAAGGTAATTTTGTTTATTTGTAATTTTTGCGACATTTTGAAATCATTATACTGTTAACAATTAAATGGGAAGCTCAAAATATTAATCACTTAAGAAAGTCTGTCAGATCATATATATTTTGTGAACAAAATAGTATAGGAATACTGATTTTTAATTACAGTATTAAATCGTGTTTAGAAGATGTCAAACGTAAGTATAATAAATTTTGTCTACGTCTAAAATAATGAAACTATGTTTTATTTTTCATCAATTGAATAAAGATTAAATCAATTTGACAAACTTGCAAAACAGAATATTTATGAAAAATACAATTAATGTTAGATCTGTCTTTCATATTATTCTACAAGGACTTTTTACTTGTCTATCTATTGTTTCTGTGACCTTATGTGGAAGCATGCCACATTATCTGGTCTATTCAAATAAGTTTATTTAACCATGGCTGCCAACAAAGAACAGAGTGAACAGTTTAAGTCCTGCAGTATATATATTTGGTACATGATCCACGGCATTTAAATAGACAATCAAATTTCTTTGGTACATAGACTTTGAATAACACCTACCATTTAATCAAACATGACGAATATTAATAAGAAAGAAGTTTAAACATCCGCGTTCTTAATATGAATTGAATTTTACTTTGTCAAGGACTGCTAAAAGTCAAAGCAGCAGTTCATGTTAAATTTTTGTTTGAAACAATATTTGATTTGGAAATGAGAACCAATAAAATACAGGCAATTAATTAAGTAGTTCAGAAAATCAAACAATGTTAACATTTTAGACAAAATAGACAGGATTGGGTGAGTTTTTATAACCAAATTTTACTAATGCACTTGTGATGATCAAAGGTCATTCGGAATACAAATTAGGAATTCTCTAGTAGACAAAAATTACATTAAGTTTATAGCCAAGGAGAATTAAGTATACAAATTAGGAACGTATAAAATGAGCGCAGTGAAACAGCCAATAGATAGTCAAGTAGAATGGTTAGAATTTGCGCTGCGGAACTAGACTAAGGATACGCTGAGACAGGGATTAGACGTGACTGAGCAAGTCTTGGACAAGTCCTATTTTACGTGTAATCAAAACTTACAAATAGGTGAGCCAACAGGGGAGACACATTTGAGACTTATAAATAGAGTACAATATAACTCTGGTCTTTACCCCTCAATTTTGTTTGTACATGTATGTTGTTTAACGTCCCTCTCAAGAAAGGATTTTTCACTCGTATGGAGACGCCACCACGTGCAATTGCCGTAGGAGAGCTGCAAATTTTGTCCTATACTCGGCACTTAAGGCCATTGAACATCTGCTAGGATTTAACATTTTCTTATTTCATGGTACTATATTGATAAAACTTCACATGTATTAACAAAAAGCAAACGAAATTAAGCTACTTTTATTGCAGCCAGCATATCCACCACCTGGGGGCGCCCCTCCCCCATATGGTCACCCACAACAAGGATATGGTCAGCCCCAGCCCGGGTACGGACAGCCACAACCTGGATACGGACAACCCCCAGGCGGTTATGGGTATCCCCAACCAGGGTATGGGGCCCCAACCACTCATCAACAGTCCAACGTTGTGGTAGTGCAAGGAGGGGGTGGCGGAGTGGTCGTGCAGGAACGTAAGAAAAGGTGATTGGTTAATGTAGAAAGTTCAAGATTTGTTTATATAGCAGGGTCAAGATGCAAATTTTGAAAATCCTTCTTTAACATTCGGTGGTTAGAGACCAACGGAGCTGATGGGGTAGTAAAGTTTTTCCATTGCAGTTGTAAACATTTTTTTTTTCTTCAATTTTTGCTCCTCCTACGGTAACCGTTGCTAATTCTATCCATTATTAAATATTTAAAATGACACGCTAGAACATGCCAAAATAAATGTTTATGCATTGCTTTTTGATATTGACAGTGTGGTCTTGGTTATATTTGTGATCAATCATTCAAACATTGCTCTAAAAATGGTAAAACTATATCCCACATATAGAAAATTGAATTTAAATGAACAACAACGAGTTTCGTTGTGAACTCAAAAAAAAATTCTCAAAAAAGGTAGACCTTCTGCTTACCAGTTATGTCTGATTTCAATAAAAATTGAAACATAATTTTGTCGTCGACTAGACTACACTTGTATTCATTATAATAAACCTTGAAAATTTAAATAGACTCCGACGAACGATGATGGCATGCATACTAAACAAAGACAAACGGGTACTCAAGATAGCAAAAATTATGCACGAAATCCTTTAAAATGCACTACTCCTCAAACACTTTTGTCCTTTTTCTTTTCACAAGAATTAATACGCCATAATTATACTGACATTCTGGAAATAAAAATTTGGAGATGACCTTATTTCGCCGACACACTATTATCACAAACAATTTATAAGAAAAAGATTCTTTCCACACGAAAGTCTACATTTCTATGAAAGTTCATTTACAAATATGCTTATTAAGTTATTTCCTATTTCAAACTTGAATTTAAAATAAACTTGGGCTTTAGATTATTCCAATTGCTCGACCGGTTAACAATTGAATAGTTCCAAGTTAAGTTTTTTTTTTATTTGAAAGTCTTTAATAGTCGGCGTCATAAGCTGAATAAAACTGTTGTTGACTATTTGTACGGGTGACTAAACAAAATATTTTCCGGAATTTCAAAGAGATACTTATTAAACTGGTAAATCAAAGTCTAGTTACGTGGCAAGACCATATGATGAAATGACTTAGTAATTGCTTTTAATGATCTTGTGTCTATTTAAAAAGAAAAGGTTATTTTTGAAATTGACTTCATGATATTTTGGAAAATATGTATTACGGACTACTTAATTTTTTGTAAGAATAGAATTTTTTTCATAATAGAAAGAAACTGTAATTTGAGAATTCTTTATCTTGATGGTAAAATGTCACAGGAGCTGGGCGTAAACATAGCAATTTTATTAACAGATTCCACGAAGAAACCTGTCTAAATCTGGTCATATGTTTACTGTTTTGGCCCTGGATCTTCGTTTGGATTGGTATGGTAAGTATAGCCACAACTTCCAATCAAATCTATCAATAGAATGGCCAAAATCAGCAAATACAATTAGATGCCTATTTTATACTATCCACTGATCAGTATCTTATGATATCAGATAAATATCTACTCAACATGTTCAATCAGGACATCTGCAGTATCTTACAAAAGCCATGACTTACAACATCTGATGTCAGCATCTTACAATCAAAATCTACCAATATATCATGTAGGATGTATATCAGTCAACATCTTCCAATCAATCTATCAAGGCCCTTCTCAATTAACTGATATCTACCAATTAACAAGTACCCAATCGTCATATTAAATGTGAAGATGACAAACAACGTCATTAAGCAAAACGAATCGTAAAAAGAGCAGACACGTTAATCAATAACCTTTGTGGTTTGATACGTTTGGAAAAAAAATTTGAAGTCATAAAACGTATTTACTCATTGTCAATAATGTTAAAATTCCAACATATAATTTCCTAAAAATTTAAATTGGAAAAATATATATATTAAGGTAAAACATTAATAATTCTTTATGTAAGAAAAATCTGCCGATTATCGGTATCCACCGTTTGTCCCAACAAGCTAATTCAGAGAATTCGTGTCCCCCGCTTAGGGAAGAAGTCGGATCCCCCTGACTGAATTTGTAGAATTATTAAATGTATATATGTACATGTATACTCAAGCAAATAAAATACATGATTGTCAATATGCGTATAAAGATTTGATTGCTTATTCTTTATTATGTGTATAGAAGATTCTTTTTATATGGAATATTTATCACACTGTAATGATGATTTCATAACCTCATAATTTTTTTATTTCACATGCTGAATACTATCATTTAATAAACAAGAGGCCCAAGGGCCACATCGCTCACCTGAGCACATCTACTAGGAAAAAGCACAGATCAGATCAAACTGAAAGTTTACTGAGGGAGGGGGGGGGGGGCTTGAATTTTAACCCTCCTGGGTGTTATGATTTGAACAATGTACAATCTACACTACCTGAGGATGATTCCATATAAATAGAAAAATATCACTAATCATAGCTTTGAAGTACTTGAAAAGAAGATTTTAAAAGGTTTCCCTATATATCCTTATGTACAAATTTGGTCAGCCATTTTGGGCCCAAAACTAGCCCCAGAGGTCATGATTTGAACAAGCTTGAATCTTCACTAACTGAGGATGATTCCACATCAGTTTCATTTTTCCAATTCCAGTGATTCTTGAGAAGAAGATTTTTAAAAGATTTTTCCTATATATTCCTATGTAAAACTTTGGTCGGCCATTTTGGCCCCACCCTAGCCCCGGGGGTCATGATTTGAACAAACTTGAATCTACACTACCCCAGGATGATTCCACATGAGTTTCATCTTTCCTGGCCCAGTGGTTCTTAAGAAGAAGATTTTTAAAGATTTTTCCTATATATTCCTATGTAAAACTTTCGTCGGCCATTTATGCCCCACCTTAGCCCCGGGGGTCATGATTTGAACAAACTTGAATGTACACTACCTGAGGATGATTCTACATGAGTTTCATCTTTCCTGGCCCAGTGGTTCTTAAGAAGAAGATTTTTAAAGATTTTTCCTATATATTCCTATGTAAAACTTTGGTCGGCCATTTTGGCCCCACCCTAGCCCGGGGGTCATGATTTGAACAAACTTGAATCTACACTACCTGAGGATGATTCCACACAAGTTTCATCTTTCCTGGCCCAGTGGTTCTTAAGAAGAAGATATTTAAAGATTTTTCCTATATATTCCTATGTAAAACTTTGGTCGACCATTTTGGCCCCACCCTAGCCCCGGGGGTCATGATTTGAACAAACTTGAATCTACACTACCTGAGGATGATTCCACATGGGTTTCATCTTTCCTGGCCCAGTGGTTCTTAAGAAGAAGATTTTTAAAGATTTTTCCTATGTATTCCTATGTAAAACTTTGGTCGGCCATTTTGGCCCCATCCTAGCCCCGGGGGTCATGATTTGAACAAACTTGAATCTACACTACCTGAGGATGATTCCACATGGGTTTCATCTTTCCTGGCCCAGTGGTTCTTAAGAAGAAGATTTTTACAGATTTTTCCTATATATTCCTATGTAAAACTTTGGTCGGCCAAAACCCACCCTAGCCCCGGGGGTCATGATTTGAACAAACTTGAATCTACACTACCTGAGGATGATTCCACATGAGTTTCATCTTTCCTGGCCCAGTGGTTCTTGAGAAGAAGATTTTTTAAAAATGCTATTAATTTTTCACTAATTCATAATTATCTCCCCTTGGAAGAGGGCGTGGCCCTTCATTTAAACAATCTTGAATTCCCTTCACCTAGGGATACTTTGTGCCAAGTTTGGTTGAAATTGGCCCAGTGGTTCTTGAGAAGATGAAAATGTGAAAAGTTTACGACAACGACAACGCCAACGACAACGACAACAACGCCAACGACAGACGACGGACAAATTTTGATCAGAAAAGCTCATGTGAGCCTTCGGCTCAGGTGAGCTAAAAAGGAAAAGTATTTTTTTTAAAAAGAAAAAAAAAAGACAGGATCGACCGAGATTCGATCCCGGGACCTCACGCATGTGAAGCGAGAGACATAACCACTACACCACGTAATCGCTTTAAAGTATGTCAAGTATATGCAGAACTTAAGTCACATACATGTGTACATTCATGTTCGGTATTCTCAAAATTTTACAAAATCCATGGTGTTTGATTTATTTAGCCATTATTAAACAGTTCTAATAGATGTAATAAGAACATAAAGTCTGCCGAGAACCTGTTTTATACGCAATAACTCTCCTCATGCCCCTGCGCTAAAAATAGCGACATGTAATACTATAAATACTAATAAAACAAACGGGGCGGAGCACTTTGATAGGGGCGAGAGACGTCCTAGGGAGTTTTGGTATAAAATTACATTGCATAAGCTAAAATTCTTCTTGAAATATCGCCCGGAAATGATAGTGTTACACACAGAGAGAATGTATAAATTTACGACCTTGAACTTTGACCTTTTGACCTCAAAATCAATAGGGGTCTTCATTAGGCCACAGGGAGTTGCTATGTAAAATTTCATTTCTATAGCTCAAATGGTTCTAGAGATATCGTGTGGAAACGAAAGTGTTTTAACAGACAGAATTTGCTTATTTATGACCTTGACCTTTGACCTTTTGACCTCAAAATCAATAGGGGTCTTCTTTAGTCCATAGGGAGTTGCTATGCGAAATTTCATTGCAAAAGCTCAAAGGGTTCTCGAGATATCGTGTGGAAACGAAAGCGTTACAGACAGACAGAAAGACGGACGGACGGACGGACGGACAGACGGACGGACGGACGGACGGACGGACAAACCCAAATTAATATCCCCCACTTTTCAAGCGGGGGACAAAAAGTAATCTTTTAATTCTACATTAACTTGGCCAAATAAATAGAACGTAAATGTAGACCTATTATAAATTACTTATTTTTGCAGTGTATATGCGACGCTTAGAAGAAGTACGTATGCTGATGAAAAGAGACTGGAACACACGCACAGAAATTCACCATCAAGAGAATAATTTGCTTGGATTAAGATATTGCAAATGCTTTGTATGTAGACAACGATTTCTGATTTTCAGGATCAACCAGTAATTTCAGAGTTTAATTTATGTATAATCATGCTTTCTGTTGCTTTCTTGTGAACTCTGGGGTCCTCTATAGATCCAGTGAGTTTCTAAATGCAATCTAGACTTGGTGGATGCTCGTGTCAATATTAAATACAATTTTAAAATTCTGATATAGATCAGTTGTATTCAATTATCAACGTTTAGTCAAATTAACAGACATTTATCTTCAACGCAATGTTTTTTATGATGTACATAGATTTCTTTTGCCTGTATATTTATTTTGATTCTAAGCTTATAAGTTTGTTACATATACCATATATCTCAAGTTTGCATTCTTTACCGTCCATTCATTTATTTTACATGCATGTATAGGTATTCATTTTGGTGTCTTTCAAATAAATTTGTGATCAAACCATAATAAAAATATTATAAATTTGATTGTAATAGAGTTATCTCTCTTTGCTAATTTAAAAAGTTTTTCAGTTATTATGTGTCGTGTACTTTTATAAAGGAAAAAAAACACCGTCGAACATAGTAAGCCAATATTTGAAGATACATAAGTAATAAGACTGTGTCCAATATGAATTAGATTTATATTTCATAGAAAAAATGCAGGCTTTCCCCTTGATGGGTTCAATAATAGTGAATTATAAATAAGCTTCTACTGTGACTTTAAAATAGTGAAAAATTACATTCGCATAAATTTGATCTCTTTTGAGTTCTGAATTGCAAAAAATAAAATGAAAATAATGAAGATAAGCAAAATTGAAAATTGATTGAGGTTCAAGCAATATAACCACGAGTCATTATTGTGACGCTGAACTACAAGTCACCTAAGGTAATAGATGAAGACGGAAATCAGAGGACATGATAAAGTGTGTCGATACGATCGAGACAACTCGTCACCTTAGATGGAAATTATTATACCCCACGCAACTAGTTGCGGGAGGTATAATGTTTTTGACCCGTCCGTCAGTCAGTCAGTCAGTCCTCTTTTTTTGTCAGCGCAACTCCTCATAAACCGCTGCACAGAATTTCGTCAAACTTTGCAGGTATTTAGGACACAATGTGTAGATGTGCATATTACCAGGAAATTCCGATTCCATTATTTTTTCCGGGACTTTCCGCACTTTTTAACTTAGGCATTTGGCCATACCTTGAATATAGAGATGAACAGTTTGTCAGCGCAACTCCTCATAAACCGCTGCACAGAATTTCGTCAAACTTTGCAGATATTTAGCACACAATGTGTAGATGTGCATATTACCAGGAAATTCCGATTCCATTATTTTTTCCGGGAATTTCCGCACTTTTTAACTTATGCATTTGGCCATACCTTGAATATAGAGATGAACAGTTTGTCAGCGCAACTCCTCATAAACCGCTGCACAGAATTTCGTCAAACTTTGCAGGTATTTAGGAAACAATAAGTAGATGTGCATATTACCAGGAAATTTCGATTCCATTATTTTTTCCGGGACTTTCCGCACTTTTTAACTTAGGCATTTGGCCATACCTTTTATATAGAGATGAACTGTTTGTCAGTGCAACTCTTCATAAACCGCTGCACAGAATTTCGTCAAACTTTGCAGATATTTAGGACACAATATGTAGATGTGCATATTCCCAGAAAATTCCGATTCCATTATTTTTCCAGGACTTTCCGCACTAAATACTTAGGTTTTTGGCCATACCTTGAATATAGAGATGAACAGTTTGTCAGCGCAACTCCTCCTAAACTGCTGCACAGAATTTCGTTAAACTTTGCAGATATTTAGGACACAATATGTAGATGTGCATATTACCAGGAAATTCCGATTCCTTTATTTTTTCCGGACTTTTCGCACTAAAAACTTAGGATTGTGGCCATACCTTTTACATAGAGATGAAAAGTTTGTCAGTGCAACTCCTCTTAAACCGCTGCACAGAATTTCGTTAAACTTTGCAGATATTTAGGACACAATATGTAGATGTGCATATTACCAGGAAATTCGGATTCCTTTATTTTTTCCGGGACTTCCCGCACTAAAAACTTAGGTTTTTGGCCATATTTTGAATATACAGATGAACAGTTTGTCAGCACCACTCCTCTTAAACTGTTGTACATAGTTTCGTCAACCTATGCAGATATTTAGGACATATTCCATTATTTTATCCCAAAGAGTTTTGCCTATTATTCAAGAAAATTTCTCACCCCCCCCCCCCCCCCCCCAACCACTTCAAATTAATGTTTGGATTTGTATAATGCCAAGAAATTTTGATTCCATTATTTATCTAGAAACTTCACTCCACATTTAAATGTCCTCATATGCAAGACATTTTGATGTGAAGATTTTTTTGCAATTATTGCCCTTTTTGATCTATACTATGTATTTAAAGTGCACTAGCTGTGCCTTTCATTATGTGTTTCACCGTCAAGTTTTGGGGGAGCGTGGGGTATGTGAGCTAGCTCACTTTTTCTTTCATTTTCTGTATGAAGATGAATCGAGATCTAACATCATAACAGAATCCACAGAACTAATTCTTTTCGATTAATTTCGCTTTTTAGGTCACTTAATTGGGTCACTCAGGTAACACCTTGCTATCTGAAGTGTTTTTGTCTATCGTCGTACATCGTTAATCGGTCGAAAACTTTTGAACATTTTTAGCTCTATTTTTGGAATCACCGAAACATTTTCAACCAAATTTGACATGGTATAAGTAAAGTGGAGTAAATGTGAAATACATGGCCCCTGCACACATGAAGGCTGAGGGACGGGGCCAAAACTAATGCAATCTTTACATATCTACTTAACACCTGCAGTCAAACTGTTGGCGTGATTCTGCAAAATTTTACAATTTACCTAATTTGTTTGGTCTTACTCGAAAGTTCTTTTGTTAAGCAGGCCCCTGACCCTTCAAGTAACTTTGTAAAATGCTGTTCTTTTTTTTGGGGGGGGGGGGGGGGGGAGCAGGAATAAGGATATTTTTCTGACTGTTTCCCTCAAAGTCAACAGTTCAATAAAAGCCAGTTTAATCTGCGTTTTACGACAAAGAAGAATTTTTTTCAATACTTTTATTACAGTAAAGACTAGCCAAAATCAAGAAAAGAATTATATAACATATCCATCAAAATGTCATAGTCGACAATAACTGTGATATACAAAAATATTCACTTTGTCTACGTAAACAAGAGTACTGTACAAGTCAACCGTACATCCTGTATAACAGAACTGATTTCCTACTATACACATCGTATTGGAATAATCTAATAATATCGTCAAAAAGCCGCATATATGGTCACGAAAATGTACCAAAAAAAATCATAAAAAATAATATAACATTCAAACTTCCATGTAAACGTTGAGATATGCGTTCACGTCAATATTAGACATTTATACATGTATAACAGTTATCATTCCTCAAAACAATAAACAGGCCTCCACCGCACATAATACAGAACTTGAATTATACTTCAAAGTTGACGTTTCTTCATTTAAACGGCATGCAAAGTCAGGCAAGAAAAATCAGTTTTCAATATGAGCACAAATAATAACAAAGTTGTTTTTTTAATCTTGAATATAAATGTTGTACCAACACAATGGTCATATTAGAATTCTTCCGTCTATTGAGTTTCTATGTTATAAAAACTGACATTAAAAAGCAAGAAAATGTGAAGTTGTACACATTTTTTTTTCAATTTCCTCATGAACATCAATAAGATCAGTTTATATCATACGAAAAAATATAACAAATGCAAGACAATCTATAAACTGGACTGGCTTTCACATACACACAAAAAGTATCTTCGGATCATTGAAGTACAGTTAGTGTCTAAGACCGTAGTAGTCATCATCAGCGAAAATACTAAAGATAAGCGACCAAATGTTTGATGGTCTTCTTTTTTTCAGAAATTGAAGTAAACCGAATTTAAAAAAATAAAATTATAAAATCCTAATGAATATTCAGCTACGCAAAGCCGAGGCTGTTTATAGATGAATGGAATAAACAACTTGCTCTTGGTTTTTCATTGATACTGCGGGTCTTTGTGTCTTTGATTTCGAGATGATATGATGTTGTGCAAAGATGTCGTCTTTGTCCATTTTTCTTTCTCGTTCAATCCGCAACTTTTCCTCGTGTTCTATATCCTGACTCAGCTTACAGACTGCGATTGCTGAAGTCAAGCATCCAGCGAACGAGGCAACAAACCCAATGAGTAGCAAGATGAAAGAATACGGAAATGATGTTTTGATTTTCTGTTTCCGGTCTATGTAAAGATCTTCTATGGATTCAACAGTCTGGTACATTATGTAAGCTAGAGCCAAGCAGGCTAACCCTATAAAAATAGATAAAGCTTCATAGAACAAATGATTGGCTAAATAGAAGTATTTTATTCGCCGAATCTATTGACCGTGTTGAAGCAAAGTTTCATATCTAAACACTTGCAACCAGAGTAATAGATTAGCGGTCAAAGACCAGATGAACATATGGTACTGGGTCGACATGACAGATGGTTCGGCAAGCCTCGCCCTCTATTCCGTTTTCATACTTTCGCCCAATAATCGCTTATATTTCAGCAAAGTAAATATGTATTTTATACATAAAAATTATACCTGACATAAAAAGAAGTGTAGACACGTAAATTCCGTAACAATTCCTCTTTTGGTCCAGAGTCTGGAAGAAAGGCCAGAAACAAAGAACGGCAACTCCAGCCACCATACAGCCAAAGACGGATAAAGCCTGTATTTCACTGGGCGTTCCTGCAGAGATTAAAAAATTAAGATACGCATATTCTTATTGTGTTAATAAAGGTTAACTCTAATTTTTAAAGATTCTTTTATCATTTTTTATTGAAAGTTGATCCATGTTGTCTTATTTTCTGGACTTCGATCCTTTGAGAAATATAATAGCTGAAAAAATATAAACGACTAAAGTGTTATGCAAAACGCATTCTTTAGTTTATGTGATGAATAATTACGGTTAATGGTGTCTTTGTACCTTCAAAATATTTAATAAGTTTGCTTGGGTCGGGCCTATAGTCATCAATGTCAATACATCGTCCACTGACACAGATTGTTAGTCCCCAGACCCCTACATGTATGGCGGCCTGAAATATAACAAGGTATCAATTTATATACTTTTACATAGGAAAATACACTCTTTGTCTCTGATGAAATATTCAAAATTTAGTATTTAATCATTCTTACAAAAATGTATTGTGATGTCACGTGTCACCAATGACACACAGACGCTGTATTTCTAACACAAAAATGTGAAACTCACATGTTTATTCTCATTTTCTTCCATTTTAAACATGGCTGGCGTCACCCAAGGTGACCTTTGGACTAAATGTTCACCCTCAATAATCTTCCAACCTTTGGTGACACTGGCAGCAATTTGTAAACCGAAAGCCACCATGGAGAGGAAAAGACATAACACTAGAGCACCATATATCCCCTTCATGTCTGTAAAGTTAAAAAGGTTTGTTATTAGTATATTTTAAAAAGACGATTTTCGATCTACTGTCATGCTAGTTCTGCATTTTTGTATTATTGATACTGACTATGAAAAAAAAAATTATCACCCAATATTTATTTCTAAGAAACAAAAAAAAATTGCACTGTAATGAATTAAACCATAAAGTAATTTTTTTGTAAAAAAAAAAAAAAAAAAAAAGAATGCCCTCAAGGATTTCGTTAACTTCTATTAACTTAATGAAACCTTGATATGCATTGAATGATTAAAATTTGCATGTTTTTATGTCATTCATTACAGTTTGCAATTTGAATAAGGAGGAAACTAATAGCTGTCAGTTTTGAAGTCGTTTATTGAACGTTTTCCTGTTTTAAAGTACTGTACCGTGTCGAGTTTAATTCTCAGATAGATCTACTCTTCAAAATCAGTTTTATAGAATGTGGGAGTAAAATATGCAAATTGCTGTTCAAGTGTAAAAGGAATAAAAACATGAAAAGGAGGGTTAATTAGTATACAAAATACAAAGTAGAACTTAGATTTTATCAACAGGAACCATCGAAGTTTTGAAAGAATCTAAATTTGACAATTTTTATCTTTATATCCCTTTACAGTTATAGCAAAAATGTTCTTATATAAAGGCTTAGAAATATGGAAGCCACAAGGATTTTTTGCACTTTCAAGAGAAAGGAGAGAAGAATAATAGGGTTTGTCGCCAACGAACCATATTTCAATAAAAACATCACTTTTTCTCTCGTTTGTCATTGTCATAATACAGCCGACACTGACTGGCATTTAAAAAAAAACAATTTTTAATTTCTTTATTTTCATTCAAACATTTTTTTGTGATTGTGTTCAAAATTTTATAAAGCTCATAATGGCATTGAAAAAAATGTGTTATTCATTAAAGAATATACAAGGATAACATACAAAAATATAAATAGCCCGAAGGTCGTTATGCCAGGCATCAATGTCAAGCAACTTCACAGGATTTTCAGAAAACTGTTTGACCAATATTCCTAGGATAGATTAACGTTCAAATGATCTAGCTAGTCAAAATGAATACAGTGTTTATTGTTTAACCGTTAAAACTGTAGCTTTTGTGCAGCTTCAACGGTAAAAATCAAAAGCATTTGCTTTGCAATTTGCTTGCAGCAAATATTTTTCTCATTGAAAAATATAATTCAAAGAGAAATTATTTCATAGGTTATAGTTAGCCATTGTTTAACCATGAGGGGGGGGGGGGGTGTGTGGAATATGCTCTTTAGTTTAAAAGTAATGGTCATTAATGAAAAAGTATGTGAAAGAAGTTGTAAACTTGGTTTCATTATACGAAGGAGTTATCGGGAAAATTGATTTAACCTACTGGACTCTAGAACAAGTAGAATGTAAGTTGTGTTGCCATTGATTACAAATTGAATGAATTTTGCACTAACCTTATCAAACATATGTAAATATATACTTTTTTACATAGAAAAACAAATGCTGCAAGCGGAATACAAATCAAATAAATAGGACTTTTATGACCACAGAACCACGTCCCTTCTGTCTTTCTTTTGTCTGTTAAAACATGACACGAACTTCATGGACCATGTCAAGCGTAAATCGTCCAAGAATTGTGGTCAGTTTTTTAAAAATGTTCCTTGATGTATATTGACCTTTATATTTGGCAAAATGACCTTCCGCATAGTTGAGCATACTTCAACACAAGAAAGGATCCATAGATGTATCAAATAAAATAAAGGAGAGCCTGATTGATGAAGCTATGTTTCCCAAAGGCAAGAGATATGGGATGTTCAGAGATCCCCAAAAATTGTCTAATGCTTTGGAAGATACCTTAAACTTTTATTCAATTGCCTATATTTACACTTTTTAATTACCAATATATAACCTAAACAAAACAACGGAGATAGAGCACTATTTATAAACCCCTCACTCCATCTCCCATTTGCATATCTTTTTAAGTCTTTGAAGAAAATCAACTGCATACTAGATATAATTAAGGTAGTTTTGTCTCTTTTGTATTTATTTAATATCACTTACAGGTCCATCTGACCATCAAAAGTTATGAAATTACTTTTTATTATTATATATCTATTTACTTAAAAATTTTTAAATTTCTTTTTCCATGGACCTTTCAATTACATGTCACTATTGACAGTAATTAATTATCATATTTGAATAGTAGAGGGGCATCATTTCTCTCATAATACAAATTATCAGAGCCAGGCACACCTGTACACTTGGTCAAAGGTCCAGAATTTCACAAATCTTATAAATAGTCCTTGCTTATTGCATCTTTGTATTACGATTGTCTCCTGGAGGCCTTGAAGTAGAACAGCTGATTTTCAAAGTAATGCATATTATTCCTTATACATTGTAGAACTGACACAGTCTCGCCGTAAAATTCACAATTTGATAATTATAAAAAGCAAACTTGCTCATCACTTTCAATCTGCTTGCTTTAGATTACTTAGAGGCAGAGAAGAAGAAATGAATTTTTATTTTATTATCAAAAGATACCCATTCTATTACCAGAACATCGTTTTATTGCCCATTCCCCGAAGCGTAGAAAATATTCAAGGATGTACTATTTGTTTTTATATATTCAAAAGACCCCGCTATAAGACCAAAACTTCAGACTTGTTTGTCTGATGAGTACCTTAGAGTAGAGATAAAAAATGGAAAGGAGACATGCATTTTGTTTGTCTGATCTCTTTATTTCTGTCCTTAACTTATTTCCAGACGCCACATATGTTAATATGTTGGAAAGGCACCATTGCCCATCATAACTAAGTGTATGTGCTTTAAATTTTTCATTGCATGACACATGAGAAAATATTGATACAAATTGTTAATCAAAAGCCCCCTATATACCAGAACCCTGACGTAGGAACCGTATGTTTCACAATTTTGACAGCGAATCCTTGCTCATCATTACCATACTGGTATACTCTACTGTACTAGCTAGTAGTTTATCTGCTAGAAAAAGAAGACGTTTGGCATCATGATCATACGGAACTCCTGTTTCTGAACCCCAAAGTTTCACACTTTCATAGAGGGTTTAGCTCGTGACAATAGCTCAACTACTTGATGTCCAGGAGAAAAATAAGAACATTTTGGAAAATTGCATTTATCCCAGTAATTTGAGCTGCACATACTAAGTATCCAAGGGACAGGGACTATGAAATTCATATTTTGTTTCCCTTCTCTAATTAATGTTTTTCGCAAAAAGTGGTTAAAATTGATGCAGGGAATCTGAAGAAGCGAAAAATGTTCAAAAGATTAACTGAAGACGGTCGAAGAGGGACGAAAACAGGTGGATAGAATAGGTCATCTGAATGGCTCATGTGATCTAAAAACCAAAAGTGGCATAATTGTCTTCAAGCTTAAAAATCTGTTAGGTGCACAATTACGGAACAAAATATTTGCTTGTACGATAAACCTCAGTAACTTGTGGTCCTTTGTCCACGTGGTAAGAATAATAGTCTAGTAACTGCAGTAAGATTGAAAAAATATTGCTAAAACGGCTAATATAAACAATTTATTAACAATTTAAAAGTGCAGTAAGATTTTTCTGTGGAAGACTATGGCCTTTATGCATTATTATGTGTTCACATCTTCTCTTGTCATGTGACCACGACGAGGAAATATGCATAAATTCTAAAGAGGACAAACAAACAATCAGCTACTCTCAGTGATCAGTTACTTTGAATAATTCTTAATTAAAATGTGTAGATATCAAGGTCAAAACTCAATTGTAAGTTAAATAAAATAATAACTTTATTATGCTTGATGAGATGTCGCACTGCGTTTCATCTGTGTACTGATTGGTTAATCTGACCTAATCAACACTGAGGCACCATTGTCACACAGGGGCCTGTAACATACTGTATTTGATTTTACGTAATCACTATATGTATACAAAAAGAGAAAGGGAAACAACGTCAGCTCGAATTTACACAGGGTCAATTTTTGAAAATGACTCGTGTTTTCAATAAAATACCTTGCAGTTAGTGAAATAACGTCTCAAATTTCTAATAGTTTCAGTAATAATCATTCTTTAATAAAAATACCATCGCGGTCATTTAAGAATCGTGTAAGTTGTGTTTTGCAGAAACGATATCCTGTCATGCAAGTGATGTAGTTTAAAAAAACCACTAAATTCGCTAAACATTGCATCCAATATTTAACGCGAATGTGATTTTCAATGGTGCTTTTCTAGAAAAATCTAACCAATCACGCTCCGCCTTTTACCAGTCATGTTTTTTTCCAAAATGTCGTATGTTCTGGGCTCGAGCCTCTCTCTGATCTTAAAAAGCTACCGTATTTATTCAAATCGGAGATGTTGTACCTTTTAATTGCAATTAACAAAAGAAAAAGATGATTTTTGTGAACGCTGGATCTTTACTTTGTGTTTTCCATCTCCGGAAAGACTTCAAAACTGGAGAAAATGTGCGAATTTTGCCTCGTTTTAGTGGACGACTTAAAGTACATCGACTCGCACAACGGGATATCGAGTTAGTATTACCCAACTTAAACGCTATAAAAATAAACGAGGTTTCTGTTTTATTAAAGAATATTTATTGTAGTATGATTTCTAGTTATAATTTAATTGGCTACATTCTTTTTTCTATGAAATACGAAATATTTCCGAGATCGATCCTGTGTAAATTCGGGCTGACGTTGTTTCCCTTTCCTTTTTTGCATATATATAGTGATAACGTAAAATCAAACACAGTATGTTACCGGTCCCTGTGCATTGTCAGTACAGCCACGCATCTTTAAGAAGCTGCCAAACGTGATTTGTGGACAACCTTTTTAAAAATGAAATGAAATGCTTACGGTTTTATTTAGTGTTTTTCCTAAAATATCTAATTGAATCAACTTGCGTAGTGACAAATACATTACTGACTTCAATTTTTGTATTCTTACTTTCGCTTTTTGTACTATCATATTCTAAATAATTTATGTATTCTAAGGGAATATCACT